CTGTGCCGCGGACTTTTCCCAGGAGGACAGCCGCCCCCCCCCCAGGACTTCACGGGGCAGGTGTGAAAGCCAGCCACTTTCATGCACACCCTTGGTGTCCAGCCTGGTCGGGGAACAGTGCTTTGTGTTAGGCCATCGGGGAAGTCCTGCCGCATCTTTCTACGCAGAAATGCACCGTGGCTTTCCCAAGGACGCAGTAAATGTGACAGTGTCATCAGTGACGGGAAAGGTCAAGTGGCAGGGACGGTGGCTACTGAGATGCCGCCTCGGCACTGTCTGTCCTATCTTGTCTGCATGGCGCTCGATGGTACCTGAGGCAGGTGCCATCCGTGAACCGTGAATTGTGGCCATAAACAGAACTTAGGCGTACACATGCCCCGGACATGGAGCAGTGGGACTCGAGGGTGGAGCTGCCGTGCTCTCCTCTCGCCTTGGCTCTGTCCCCTTCCCTTGTGCCCTGGAAAGGATGAAGATGCTACTGAAAGGTAAGCTTGAGCCGGCCCCAGAGCATAGCGGTCAGATGCTGAAGAGGGAAAGCTGGGTCCCACGTGGCCAACTGCGATTTCAATCCCAGCCCCACCCACTGGCGGGCCACGTGTGTATGCCCAGATCCCGCGGTGTGGAGGAGGAGGGAAAGGTCGTAGCTTGACCGTGCCTCAGTGGGGTTCTCTCTCCCCATCTCTGCAAGCATGCATGTCCTCAGGCAATGAAAATAAAAAAAGGAGGAGGCAAGGAAAACTCTAAAGGAACTTTAGAAACATGGAGAGAGGTAGAGCCTGCAGTGTGAGGAGAGAACCTGCTGGAGAGCAGCAGCGGACAAGGTCCCAGGTGGGGCTTCTGTGCTGGTCGAGTCCTGAGAGCGGCGTGTCCGCCGGGGACGGCAGGTCGGTCCGCGGGAATCCGCTCCTTCTAGTCGAGGGCTTTCCTCGGTGAGACCCACAGCCTTTGTAAACCAGCGTGTGAACTGCCTTTGCTCTGCTCTGCTTCCCTCCAGGCTGGTGTGGACCCTCAGAGACCGCCGAGGCCCGAAGTGAAAGTCACCAGTCCGCAAGAAAACGAAGGCCACGAGCAGGGGCAGGACCGCGCTGTGGTGGCGTAGACGGCTTCAAGGCGAGCGTGTGGCTAGAGGGGCTGCAGGGGTTGAGTACAAAGCACATAGTTATTGCCAAGCAGAACAACCGTGGTGGTGCGGTTGAATTCTACCTACCGAATCGCGAAGCTAGAGGCGTAATGGGAAGACTAAGAAATTTGTAATAGCTGCTGAAGAAGGATGACTTATTTTTATGGCATATATTTTTAAAAAGTCATTTAGGAAAATTAAATAAGAGGGACAGAGGGACTTTGCCCTGGAAGTCAATGGGCCACTTGCCTTGGTAAAGGGAAGAAACGTAGGGTCACCCCGTGGCACGTTATAGATGTAGATGCGGCACTATGAGAAGGCGGCTTTCTCTGCAAAGCTTCGCTAGGAAGGCATAGGGTTGTAAAGACTTTGGTAACAGGAAAACATGTACTCTTTCTTAAAGCAATAAATTCTTGAGTGGACAAATTGCAATTTAGTTTCAGAGATAATTTGGAGATGGCAGGAGATCGATGTGTTTCCCTGGCTCCTTGACCTTCCTTCCTTTCTTCCTTCTTAGCCCAAATCCACCCTCAGCAAACTAAAAAGACCAGGTGAACGTGCATTGTGGAAGGAGGGGGCGCCGTGGGGAGCGCGGTGGGCCGTGTGCTCCTGCCCTCTGTGGGTGCTGGGGCTGTCATGGCGCACATGCTGGACAGTCACGAGGGCACACCACTCCTGATGGCCGACGTGGCTGGGTGGTTCCTGAGCGCTGGAGACCATGGACCCAGGCTGCCTTCCCCAGCAGTACGCCTCTCTCCTCCCAGACGCGACTGCAGTAGAAAACTCCATGTTGGCTATTCCAAAGATTGAGTTCTTCCTAAACAGATTTTCACACAGACCAGACGGCGTACGAGGCGGAGAAAAGGAGGCTGTCGAAGAGTGCGTGACGTCTCTGCTTCACTCGCTTTTGCCTTATTTCTGTCAGGACTGCCTTGAGATATTTTCGCCCCGAGAGGCATGAGCAAATATTAATTTTCCTAACTGGTTATGTGCACCTTTTCAAGCGGATTCCTTTCTGTAACTGGAAGGCCTCTGTTAAAAATGGTTGAGAACACTTTCAAAACGGTCACAATCGCACCATTTCCAATCACGGTTTTGATGCAACCAGTTGGCTGTTGCCTTAGGACTGTACGGGGAGAAACATACGTTTGCTTGTGCATTCTTAAGAGATGACGCTATTCTTCCTTAAACATAGAAATAAGATCGTTTTCTCTTATAGAAGAATACATTTTGTAATTCTGTAGCAGCTGTAACTTTGAATTTCAAGTTCTAGTGTAGTGCTTTCATAAAGTTCAACATGAATCGTAAGTTTAAAAGATTGTCTTCCCCTCCAGATTTTATAATCAACCGTTAGAAATGAGAAGAGCTGGCACTTATGCGGAGCACTTAATAATACTGTAGGAAAGAGATGTATTCTCCCAAACAGCGATTTCAGTACTTGCCCCATAAAGGAAGTATAAGCCGAGATTATTATATGACAGTATTTGAGAGAGAATGACACAAAGGCACGTGGACCTGGGAGGATGAGTTATAGAGGGGGTGCGGCGTTCCTGGTGGAGTCTACTAGGCTGTCGGAAAACAACGTAGAAAAACCCGTCGTGGCTTTCCGACAGCCTAGTAGGTTGTGTTCCCACCCGCAGGCCTGTTCTCCGGAACGGGACAGTAACAGGCGCTGCAGTCTGTGGGCCACCACTCACACTCCCGTGAGGCCCAAGTAGGTGGAAAACTGGTCCTTTAATGTTAAATTCTCGTACTGTAACTGGGTCTGGGGTCAGCGATTTACCGTAGTTTATAAAAATAGGAGATTCAATGGGAGAAATGATAGCTAGTCATCGAGGTCATTCTCTGTCCTTCCTTCAAGGAAGAGTTTCCCTCTTTTTCCTCCCTTAGTAATTTCTCTTCCTCCCCTCGTTACCCTGGGAAGCCTACATTTTAGGGAACTCCTTACGAGTTATTTTAATAAAGCACAACATTGACATTTTACATGAGAAAGCAGATTTGACATTTGACGCAAACTGCAGGCCACAGTCACTGTCGCAGAAATCTTACAAATGGGGCCCATTCTTCGCTGGTGCGCACGTTTTAACCGCCTGTCGGCAAGGTGAAGCCGTGACCCACCCTGGGGGAAAGGACGCCCACTCCTCACTCTGAGACACTGTGCAGACACCTGTTCCTAAAAGAAAAAGAACGTGAGAATACGTCACCTGACCAGGAGGGCGTCGTTCACAGAGAACTGAAACTGTGGCCGTCACCTCGGAGGTCAGTGTAACAGAAGCGATGAGGTGGCGGGGTGCAGGGCAGACCGGCTGTGCGTGGAGTGGGGCTTCTGGACACACCCGGGCCATCCCCGGGGGTGGACGGAAGAGACCTCGGTTAGGTTTCACGGGCGGTGGAGAGGGCGCTGCTGAAACGTCAGGTTTCTGTGCGAATCACCGGAAGCTTCAAGGCGGTGCTTCGTGATGCCGCACGCACACGTTTTACGGTTTTTACGTGTGAAGCCACTGTCTGAAACTTAATCAGATTGTAAGACACTTGTGAACAACTGGTTTGTTAGTAAAATTAGGCTATTAGGGGTTTTGCAGGGAAAATAAAGATTTTGACTAAAGTAACTTTAGTAGAGCCCCCGCAGAACTCTATGGGGCCAGCAGGCGGTGTAGTGGCTAAGCCACTGGACTCTCACATGGCTGAACATGGTTCGGATCCCAGACCCAGGGAACTGAAAATCACGCCAGGTGCATGTGTGTACATGTCCAAAATCCCAAGAGGAGGATGGAGGAGAAGGGACTGTGTCCTGGCCATTCCTCCTTGGGAATAAGTTCTCATTTTCCCTCCCACTGTCTCTGTTTCTCCAGCAAGTGCATGTGCCCTGTGACAAAAACCTTAAAAAGAAATGAGTTCTACACTTCCATTTTCCCCCCTCAAAATAGAGAAAACAAAGTTTAAAAAGTAGATTAATTGCTGAACAGGAAGCGTCACATCTGAGCGGTTGCGGGTCAGAACAGAAATATAATGAATAGCTGTAGGTATTTATTGAGTGCTTACCCAGGCACACTCACTCGCTCTAGAACGTTCAGCCCCTCAGGCCCGGCATCGTGAGATAAGTCCCTTCCGGGTGAAGCCAAGAGAGGGAGTGGGTAAAACAGGAAATGCTGAGAAATTGTGCATTTGACGGTGCTTTAAATCTTGGTTCTCTGAGGCTTTAAGAGATTTAATTGTGTTCTCAAAATAAGAAAGCTACCAGCATTTTAATGAAAAATTTATTCTAGGAAAGGGTGTTAAATGTTTTTAAAATATATATCATATCAAAAGACAACTATATATATATATATATATATACATACACACACACATGTACATATGTGTGTATGTGCATGTATTTCCCTGAAACACCTGAAGAGCACAGTTCTTTGTCATCAGCCTTCAGTACCATGTCCTTACGAGGAGACTGTTTCATGCCAACACGGGCTTTGTCCAAGGTTCTGACTCTCGGTCAGTGCGTGTGACTTACATCTCTGAAGATGCCTTTTGGCACCAGGTGGCCAGGTGCCCCATAGTAGAAACACTTACTGGTCCCTGAGTTTGCATGGCGCTCAGCTTCCACGCAGAAAGGTTTTCGAGGTCTCGTGTGAATGTAATGTCCCCTGGAATGAAATCTTTCTTTTTAAGTTTGGTCTGTTTTTCTAAGGTGAAGAGCACTTATCGTTCTTTGTTATTAGATTCCACTTTTCTAAATAAGGTTTTGCTTTTTAAAACACGTCCTGGTATGTAAGTGGGTCTGATTTTGTTCTTCCCACATGAGTGTGCGTGATGAGTGTGCAACTGCATGATACGGGTGGAGAGTGGAAAGGTGTCCCCGTAAATCGATGAGGGAGAGGTGATCATGGTTGTGCTGAGGTGTAGGAGCCTCCGGGAGGTGGTGAAATGTCTGGGCGACAGAGCGCCCACACAGTCGGCAGCCAATGTCCCTCCAGGGACGTCAGCCGCCCGGGATCAGCTCTCGTCTGATGGCCCCCAGGAGTCCTCCGTCCCTCCCTCACCGGCATGAGCTTATGGTCTGTTTCAGCTCTTGTCTCAAATGCACGACACGCGGCAGGGGGCAAGGCGGTTGGGCGAAGTCTGCGAAGCCCGCCTACCCCTGGATGGTGCTTTCCCTGGGTCTTAACTCTTCACGTGTGCAACGGTACGGGGCGATGACTGACGCTGTAAACAAAGACGAAATCGAACTCATCGTTTCATGTGATTTATGTTCAGACTGTCTCCGAGAGGAAAATTATTTCTGTTTTGATCGAATTGTGAGTTTTATGTTTTCACTTCTGTATGCGGGCATCCCCTAAAATGCAAAAGTTTATTGCCCCTTTGAGTAAATAGATCTACATTTTCTATAATTAAAGTGTGTTTGGATGCATTATTTATGATGCTGTGTTGCTAATATTTCACGCGATCATCCTTTTCACGGCGTTTTTCACTAACACAATAGAAGCATTTTGACTTAAGTCATGTAGAAACCCAGCACATTAAAAAGTGCTTCTGTTTTGTTTGTCATGGATTAACTGCCCGTCGTCCGGCCCCGCCTTACTGCCCTGCTCTCGCGATCTATGCCAAGTGATCAAGTTCCATTTTCCCTGTTTGTCTGATGAATGCGAATTCTAGACAGCTCGGCCTTGTTGCTACTAATAGGCCTTTCCCTGACCTCGCTTGTCGGCCAGGGTGGCTGCTTTTTAGCAATTTACCTGCTGTCTCAGTTTTTCCTACTAGGTTGTGGACTTTCCGTTATTTCTTCAAAGGACCTTTTCTTTTTTTGAAAGGAATTATTTCTTTATTATTTATGACTATTGTTATTATTTAATTTGGTATAGGGCACACGCGTTCACCAGAGAAAGAGAGAGAGAGAGAAAGTGAGGAAGCAAGCTGCCAGGGCCAGGACAAAACCGCGGCCAGCCACGTGGGAGTCCAGCGCCCTCAGCCTCCACGCCACCTGCTGGTCCCGTAAAGCTTCTTTGTGTAATCCACGTGACATTTGCTGCT